CATCTAAACAAAATCATAGATTGTCGTTTGAAGTGGATGGTTGCTCCCCTTGAATACCAATATCAATATGCCTCTGCTTTTGAAGGTTATCTTCATGATCAACGTCGTCGTTAGTAGTAGCCTGATGGTCCCTTTCTTTTTCTTTCTTGGTGATTTTTTTGGGAATGAAGCGGGAGAGAGGAAAAGGTCGGGTCAACACCAATGCCTCGATTGGATTTCTGGCTTGCGAGAGGGCTCTTTCAATTTTCAGGCAAAATTGAAAGTTGGATCAAGTTGAGAAGAGCGGGCGCGCACCAGCTGCGCCCTGATGGCTTGATTCCTCTAGCCCTCTTTCATAGGTTTTGTAGGCGTGCCACTGTTGGGGATGAAACTAGCCCAATAGACCTGGTGTATGTAATTTAGAGTGCTGTATTTGATGGGTTTGCGCTTATTTTGGACTTATGATCAAGCCATTATGCTCCAAGGGGAGTATTGGCTCAGATGAGTTCTTTTCTATGCCTCAATTAAGAGGACTTCAATTTTCTTTCAATCGTGCGTTTATGGCTTGGTAAATGCGAGCAGTACTTAACCACACAGAAAAACCAATGTTAAGGTTAATGTTCCGTTGATTGGGCTCACAAACCTAATTTAAGCCCACGGTAACCCTGTATTGGGCTATTATTTAATTAATTAGGGACCGATGGTATAACTCGGGCTTGAATGAGCCCTTGTTTTCGGGCTTGAATGAGCCCTTGTTTTCGGGCTTGGGAAGCCTTATTCTGACCTAAAACCCTTATTCTTGGCCTGTCCAATGAAAAATTCAAATATATAAAAGTGGGAAAGTAAATTACTACAAGAGAGGATATGAAGTAGGTAAATGACATGTATTTAAAGTGCAACTAAAGTAAACTTCGGAAAGAAAAAGGTTCCAGATGTTGGTGATTTCTTTATCCACCTCTAGTATGATAACAAATTGAAACAAAAGCCAAAGATTTCTCCATTTAGCTACTTTTAAAAAACAAATTACAATCTTGAAGAGATTGAAGATTTCTCTATCCAATCTACACATGTTTCTACTATTTAGAAGAACCTAAACTGATTGTTTAAACAAGAATCATACCATGGAGATGACAGAGCAATGAAAGATAAATGCAAGAGTTGTCAACTGGTTATCTAGGTAGGAAGTTGACTATTTGGAAATCTTGAAGTTTTGTTCAAGTGTTTACAAGATGTTGCGTCTGATTTTGGAGGAGTCCCCTTGTGCTGTTGTTGAACCTCTATATGTATAGGCAGAAGATCTTTACAGTTGATGGTGAAGGCTGGAGGATGACATTTGAGTGTTGCCCAAAGTTAGCTGCCGATTTGCCCTCGTGAGTCGATTCATAGGTAGTAGAAGAGATATCTCAGATGAAACCATTGGTTTCAAGGTGTATTCCTTTGATTTGTCATCCTTTCGCAGCTGAAGATCCGGTCGGAAGACGGTTCCTCTTGGTTTTGCCGTCCATTATCTAGCGTGCTTTCTTGCTGAGAGAGACATCGATCAAGTCATTCTTAATGGCGAGAAACCATCTTCAGACCGTCATTTGGGTCAACTAGTAATGCTTACTTACCTTCTTGACTTTAGTGTGGGTTAAAATGAGGCTTGTTGAGGTATGGGCGAGGGATGTGGTGGTGGTGGAGGTGGTGGTGGTGATGAAGGTTGAGGCAGTGGTTGTGATAGTGGTGGTAGGGATGGTGGTTGTGGAGGTGATGGTGTTGAAGGTTGAGGATGAGATGGTGGTGGCGGCATGATGGTGTTGGTGGTGGAGGTGGAGGTGGTGGAGGTTGAGGAGGAGGTGGTGGTGATGGTGGCGGAGAAGGAAATGGTGGTGGCAGTGGCGGTCGGTGGTGGTGAAGGTGGTGGTGGAGATGGTGGAGTTGGATGTGGAGGTGGAGGTGGTGTCTTAAAAAAAAATTAATGATGGTATTTTTGGAATTGAAAAATGTCATTAACTACTCATCTCTACTTCTTTTGAAAGCAACTCATAACCTGCTTTTAAAAGCTGCTGTCAAAAGGCCACTGCTTTTAAAATAATCGGGATATTTTAGATTTACCAAACACCTTAAACTACTTAATTTTAAAGTGAAGCAGATTTTTGACCAAAAAAAGCAATCCCAAATGGAGCTTAAAAGGTCCGGGCTTTCCCCAAGGGCTTGACACCTCTAAGGCCTTAATCCTTGAGTGGAATTGCTTTTCTTGAAACTGGAAGATTTCTCTTTGCTTGCTGTAGACCCACAAGGTGAACTCACACCACTTTGCTTCTTAAATAAATATATATATAAAATCTTTTCTTATGGTTTTGTTCTAGGTTTTTTTTTTATTTAAAAAATTCTTCAGTTGTTTCTATTCTTTTATTTTCTATAATATATTTTATAATAATTTTTTTTTTTTTTTTATGATTTGGCTCTCTATATATTCGTTTAATCATTAGCAAACTCAAAGAAGCTACACAGTGCACAACTTGAGGTATGCATTTTGATTTGTTTAATGAATTGATACTTTGATATGCATTTCGATTAGATTAAGTTATATTGATTTTCGTAAAATGAATTGCTGATTCAATATGAATTTTGGTAGACTAATTATGTAATTGATATACTGTATAGACGGTAATCAATTAGTCATAGAGCTAAGACTCTTATTTGTTTTAATTATATAATTATGAAACGGTACTTTAAAAGAAAGTATCTAAATCTTTATTTGAATAATTATGGTAGTTCTAATCCTCCTTAAAATAATCCGGATAGGCTTTTAAAATTGCCTATATTTTGAAAAAGTCCTGAATCCGCCACCTTTTGGGTACTTTTGGGTCCCAAAGATGAGGAAAGATCAATATTGACATTGTTATCATCATCAACTGCCATGACAGCTGACGAGGGTTCATGATCATCCACAATACTATCATCGCCACCATCACCATCCTGATCGTACATTAGGTGGACCCCACAACTTAGGATTTTGAGCTTATCGGGCAAAGCAAATGTGAATGTGAATTGTTTATTGTTTATTGGAGTGCATGCCTGCTCATATTGTGCGATTGATCCTTTGTGTGCATGCTGGTTTTCAAGAGAGTGGACCTGATAGATGCATATGGAAACTCACTGCGAATGGTAAGTTTTCTGTTAAAACAGCTTATGGCATTACCTCCACTGATGATGATCCTTTGATGTGGTCTTGGAACTTTATTTGGAAACTTCACATACCTATTAGAATTAAGACCTTTCTGTGGGTGCTTTGTCATAAGAAACTTCTTACCAATGTGCAAAGGCAGAAGAGGGGGTTGGGTCAAGACACTTCCTGCCCGAGGTGCTCTTCTCATGTGGAATCCCTTGACCACCTTTTTATTGATTGCAGTACTACTCAATTAATTGTTAAGGATTTTTGGGAGGATGCTGAGGTTCCTAATCTTTCATTGATTGATTTTGATTCTTGGCTCCTTAAGAACTTAAAATCTCATAGAACCTTTCATAGTATTCCTTGGTCGTTGGTCTTCACAGTTTATCTCTGGTTTGTGTGGAAATGGCGTTGTAAGGTGGTCTTTGAGCAGAATTTTTCGACTCCTCCTAACTCTCGTCAAATAATTATGAATTATGCTATGGATTGGTTTACTGTTTGTAATCATACTCCTGATCTTGTTGTGAAGCACCTGGTACATTTGCATTGGACTGCTCCCAAGTGTGGAATCTGTAAAATCAATACTGATGGTAGCAGGAAAACTGAAACTGGTTGTATTGGTGCGGGTGGTATCTTGAGAGACTCCACTGGCAAGTGGTTAAATGGTTTTTCTGTGAATCTTGGTATTGGGACAATACTAGAGGCTGAGCTGTGGGGTCTTTTTTGGGGCCTCAAGTTGACCTGGGATATGGGCTACAGAATTGTGGAGGTGGAATGTGATGCAAGTTATGTGGTGGCCCTTCTTCAGAATGCTCCTATGTCTGATCGTCCTCTCTTTAGTCTCCTAAACTGTTGTCACCTGAAGCTTCATGATGACTGGATTTGCGCTCTTACCCATGTCTATCGTGAGCAAAATCGTGCTACTGATCTTTTGGCTGCCAAGAGCTACGACTTCCCTCTTGGACCCCATGTTTTTGCTTCAGAGCCTGCCTTTCTTTGTACTGTGCTTGCTGCTGATACTAGCAATGTGGCTACTCCTCGCTTAATTCCTTTGTAATTTTGTTTCCTTGTTTGGGCTTTAGCCCTCCTTAGCACCCAAAAAACAAAAAAAAATGTGAATGTCACTTGACATATCCCTCCATCCAGCTGTCCCCAGGATATATCCCACGGGTAATAATCACTGATGTGCGCGCGTAGTCTGTGGGAATTAGTCAAGTCTAGATACTGAAGCTTCGGTAACTGATCATGTTCAAATATACTTTATAGTGTTTAAATATTTTCCAGTGATTTGCAATTAAAAAGAAGGAGATCTTTAAGATAATAAATACTGGATGATATAGTTGTAAGGTTCTCACAATCATGTGCGTTTAAATCTTCAATAAATTATCGGAGTTGTAAGGTTTTCTTCCATCATATGGTATTGTGGGATCGTGAGTTCCATGATAGGTAGAAGGAAGTTTTTTATTAGGGTAATTTCTGGAATTGATATCTTCTTTGGTTTTCATTATTTTTCCTTGAGAGTACTAATGGGTTTTCAGTGTCTTTTATTTGATTTAGACCATCCGTTTGTTTTTATTGAATCAGCCAACATCTTTGGTTATCTTTTTTATCCACAGTGCCTACCTGCTTAGTGTAATTTGTGCTTCGTGATTTTGACAATCACTTTTTTGTCCCTTTTAGATTTCTGTTGATTGCCTAAGAACTGTGTCAGATGTATCTGTTTTTTAGCAAGCTCAAATCCAGAAATCCTTGGAGCGCATCCATTACACAGGGCTAAATACTATACCTGTCTCTCTTTTTTTTGGATGTCTTATGTGTTCATGTCAGGAACAGAGAAATATTCAAACACACACACATTTCAAAGTAGGAAGATAAAATTTGATGTTTATCAAAACAGATAGTTACAAGCGTGAGTAATTTAATTGTGTTTCAATTCTGTTAAACGTGCAATGTTGTCTCCCTAGGCTAGGTTCCTTCTATATATGAACATTAAGCTTAGAAGGTCTGGTAATTTCGTGGTGCACCATTTGCAACAGCACCAGGGAAGAGAAGGGCTTTTACAACAGGAACATGAAAGATCACTTGCGATCAATTGGGAAGAATGAAGGAAAAAGAAGAAACATTAAGCCAGATATGCATGGAACTCTGTAACAATGAAGGAAAAAGAAGAAACATTAAGCCAAATATATATTTCCACAAAACACAACCACTAACAGATGTATAAACACGAATATTAAACTTGAGCTCATTCACAAGATATACATCTACTTCAGAAGCTACCCCTGCAAATAATGAACAATTGAAAAAAAACAATAAAAGAAGAATCCCAGAAAGCTAAGAGAAGCGGACCTGAGGTATTAAGTTGCAATTGGTTGAGATCTTGAGGGACAGAGCAGGTAGCCTCTTGAATACTACCCCTACACTCTTCTATATCTCCACTCACTATATATTTAACTCTAATCAAAGATGGATAAGCCACCAGTCAACTAATTCAATAGAACTATATATACAAGGAAAAGAAAAGTAGGTAGGTTCTAACAAAATACTAACAATAACAAGTTACCTGAAGCAGCACATTAAACACAAAACAAAGATTCACGCAAGTCGCTGGTCCTGGGATGAGTAACCAAGATAATCTGCACACACAAACACATAACAAAGAGTAAGAAAGCAGCAGCACATTAAGAATGAATCTAATTGTATGACAATTTGGTATACACAAACACAACCACACATGTCCAAATTTCTAAGCTAAGCACAAATTCAAGTTCAAGAATGTAATTGAGTGAGAGGAGAGGCCTTTCTTTCCGATCCTAAATCGCTAGATCTAATACTAGAAAATTGCCAACAGAAGCAGCAAATATTTCATGTTCATATTCATATTCAATCAAACCATAATTCTTAATTTCAAGATCTGAAAGTAAAAAAAAAAAAATTAAAAAAAAAAGAGAGACGTAGAAAACTGAAAAAGCTAACCTTAATGCCAGAAGGGGATTCCATGAAAGTAAGCTTGTAGGTATTGGTGCGGAAGCTGTGGAAGGAACAGCCTTGGCTGGGCAGCTGAGGGACTCAGAGATTGGCCTTCAAGAACCCTCTCAACAAACCCTAACATCGACTGCAGAGAGAGAGAGAGAGAGAGAGAGTGATGCTTAGGTTTCTTTCAACGGCAACTTAGGGGAATATGTGTATATAGTAGATTAAGTGAAGAATACATAGAGAAGTCATAAGAGAGATTTCTGTTTCAATAAGATTAACCTTCTAGTTAATTATGGATGCCTAAGTAAACTTTGCTAGTGTAAGTATGAAAAACTTGATGAGAAATGCATATACATAAAAATACTAACTAGGAGAACCGCTTTGATATTCTTCATTGTTAAAAAAACTTCAAGCTCACCATGCTCCTGCAGATTCAAAAAGACACCTAATAGATCATTTGATGTGTCCTTGCCTGTAGTCTCGGCTTCCTCCTTGCGGGCTTTATGCTCTTTGACAATGTGGTCAAGTATCATGTCAATTTTCCTATTTTGCAAGGTCTTTATGTGATTCAAATTGTTGAAAATCTTACTAGTTGCAGTAATGTAGTTTTTGGTTTTTAATTGTTTTGGGATGTTGTTTACTAGGTGTTGCATTGCATTTCATAATTTGATTTTTTGATTTTATTGGTTTTGGTTTTGAATTGCATTGCATTTTATAATTTCCTTGGCCTTCAACCTCACCAATTTGAAGAGTAGAGGCTACCCAGATGAGGAATTGGGTGGGCAAGAGAAGCGTAGAACTAGCCAAGAGCAAGGGAACTCAAAATTGGACTTTTGGAAGCTGCATTGCAATTTTTTTCATTTAATTAGAATTGGATTTTTGCTCTTTCCTTGGCCTTCAACCTCACCAATTTGAAGAGTAAAGGCCACCCAAATGAGGAATTGGGTGGGCAAGAGAAAAGTAGAACTACCCAAGAGCAAGGGAACTCAAAATTGGGTGGAGTTTTACTATTATTTGCAATTGATATAAACTGCTATATAAAAAAATAATAATTACAGAGTTGCTTTCATGTCATGTGGGTTCTGACCCGCATGTGCTTCATCTGGACATTCATATGTATTTTCTGAGTTGTTTATCTCAACAACAGAAGAAACCATATTATCTCAGCAACATTAACACGGTCTTTTTCATCTTCATTTTCAAACCCCAAGTGGGAACTCACTTTTCCTAGCTTGCTTCCACCTTAAAGGGTACGAACCTTCAGGTTAACTTCTTATCTTTAACGGTGACTCGTTTTCTTTCACTACATGATAAATAGGTATCTTGTTCAAGATTTTGAGCATGTGCATAATAATCATGCATTTACCCGCATTTCGTTACATTTAAATCTTTCTAATAATATAAAGACCTATAATATGACATGTCAAACTCCAAATAAATGTTATTCTCCCTTAACACTGTTAAGTCCAAATAATATTTTTAAAATAACAAAGTTTGCCATGGATTTTAACCCTTGCCTTGACCTCTGCTTTCCTGATGAAGATAAGAACCCAAAAGTGTCAAAGTTTGTGGAAACTTGAGAAAATGTATATTCATATTGTCATAGACTAGTTGGAACTCTTTTTTTGGTTTACCAGCCCTCACCATATATATATTAATATTATCAAGATTTGTGAGGTTAAAATTTTGTATATAGATATTGTAATCTCAATGGGGTCTTCTATGTCTCCCTATCCCTTATTCCCATTGACTATAATGGTATTTTTTTATACCTCAACGCAGTTTGTCTTATGCTATGTACCTACACTACTAACAGATGTATAACACGAATATTAAACTTGAGCTCATTCACAAGATATACCAACTACATCTAACTTCAGAAGCTACCCCTGCAAATATGAACAATTAAGAAAGGCACATCCATGTCAATCCTTGGTAATATACCTCACTCTGAAGGGAAATCAAAGTTTTTCCTCAAAGGTTTTATCATGAGTTTTATGTTACATATAGATTTCAGGAAATTGACAATAACCCAGATCTATAAAACAGACTGTAATGCAAAGCAAAACATGAAAAAAGAAAAGAAAAAAACAATAAAAGAAGAATCCCAGAAAGCTAAGAGAAGCGAACCTGAGGTATTAAGTTGCAGTTGGTTGAGATCTTGAGGGACAGAGCAGGTAGCCTCTTGAAAACTACCCCTGGTCTCAAACCCTTCCACATCCTACACTCTTCTATATCTCCACTCACAATATATTTAACTCTAATCAAAGATGGATAAGCCACCAGTAAATTAATTCAATAGAACTATATATACAAGGAAAAGAAAAGTAGGCAGGTTCTAACAAACAGAGTTCACAAAATACTAACAAGTTACCTGATTGGAGATGAAACTTGTTACTATGAAGATTGATCATTTACTACATTACGATAATCGAAACTGAACCAGTTACCTGATTGGAGTTCCAGAAGTGTAGAGCGGGTTCTTCACGACATATTCCACATACAAGTTGTAAATGTACTTCAAAGATTCACGCAAGTCGCCGGTCCTGGGATGAGTAACCAAGATATCTGCACACACAAACACAAAACAAAGAGCAGCACATTAAGAATGAATCTAATTGTATGACAATTTGGTATACACAAACGCAACCGCACATGTCCAAATTTCTAAGCTAGGCACAAATTCAAGTTCAAGAATGTAATTGAGTAGAGGCCTTTCTTTCCTATCCTAAATCGCTAGATTTAATACTAGAAAATTGCCAACAGAAGCAGCAAATATTTCATATTCATATTCAATCAAACCATAATTCTTAATTTCAAGATCTGAAAGTAAAAAAAAAAAAATTAAAAAAAAAAGAGAGACGTAGAAAACTGAAAAAGCTAACCTTAATGCCAGAAGGGGATTCCATGAAAGTAAGCTTGTAGGTATTGGTGCGGAAGCTGTGGAAGGAACAGCCTTGGCCGGGCAGCTGAGGGACGCAGAGATTGGCCTTCAAGAACCCTCTCAACAAACCCTAACATCGACTGCACAGAGAGAGAGAGAGAGAGAGAGAGAGAGAGAGAGAGTGATGCTTAGGTTTTCGCGACAGAGGGAAAAAGAGAGTGGTGATGGTCGTGGAGTGACGATGGAGAAAGAAAGCGCTGAGAGAGGAAGAGAGCGCGAAGAGAGAGCTGCACGAGGGAGAGAAGAGTGAGGGCAATCAGTCGGCAATAATAATCTATTTATAGGAAAGGGTAGTTTGGTACTTTCAAGTTTCGAAGTGACTATATGAGCCAATTCCCCTTTTTTGTTTTAATTTCCTGCTAAAAATAATGCATTATTATTAATAATTATGCTCATAATTGTAAGAGGTCTACTGCCATTTATGCCACTTTATTTTGCTTTCCATGAGAGAAGATAAGATTTATTAACTTGCAGATCTTTAACCGAAAATTAAGTTGAAAGATTGAAAGTTAAAATTTCATCACATAGTTCGCACACTGGATTGAAGAGGCATCTCTTTATAGATTATCATGTGTCATGACTGGTATGAATTTATTCTTCTCAAATGATGGAAATTGCATTTTATGTATATATGATTTTAGTAGTGGGTTCAATTTCTCTAAAGACCAGAGCTAAATTTGAATAAGATGTTTAATCAAAAGATGTAATGATACATGAATTTTGATAGATGAGTGGCAATGCATAATTTATGTTGAAATCCCTAGTAGTTTCGGGAAAAAGGACTTGTTGCTAGAAATAACATACTTAGTGACCAACAGATCTTCAGCAGCGTGCATATGAATTGCAATCATTAGCTTAGATGCTCCTGCAATTGATAGTATTATGTCGTCGGACACAAGTTGTGAAGACATTGAGGTCATATTTAATTGCATTTTCTAATATCATTCTTTTACTTCTCCTTTAAAGTATTAAGAACTAGTAGTTCTGCATTTCTCTTTTCCTTGCTATATTTGGTGGTTGTCGGCTTACTGTCTGAATCTCCTTTTTTCTAATGGTAAAGTCCAATGGTTGTTTAACTTTGTTATATGCCAAACGATATATATATTTCCATGTGATAGACTTATGCTTTCTAAGGCAAATTTGAAATATACTGTAATTTTCATTTTCTTTGGTTTTTTTTTACAAAACATAAATTTTGGAAAGCATTTGTTGAGATATATCAAATAGAATCCTTGAAGAATATAAATTATAGGTTTAAGGAAAGTGAACTAATGTATGTCTCATTTAAAAAATGTTGTCGCCTTGTAGATTGTTCTAATGCGACATCGTGATAATGTACCTTTCTCATATGGATACATTATCTTGAAGCAACATAATTTACTTTTTCAGATAGTGATTGTGTATGTTTCACAGATGCGTTATTATGAATCATGACGCAACATCAAATATTTTTAAATATGTATAGATCCAGAAGAATATTTTCCAAAATAAAAATACTATGTCAAATGAATTTGTATCCTAACCGTGAATGCTACCTGGCACGAAAGGACTAGCTTTGGTTACTTCCTAGTCAAATATGCGCTATCCGTCCTACTTATGGTATGAAGTACGAGTAAAAGTAAGGGCCCATATCTGACAATTGCAAGGGCATTAGTGATTTTTATAAATACTGAACAATCAGCACCTATAAATAAGCAAGCAAATCATTAAATGAGGGACTTTTTTTGGTCCAAAAGAAAAAGGCCATTGTAAATGTTGACTGAAAAATAATCTGAGAGGGCATCTGGGCAAAAAATTAATTTTGATAGATCAGTGATTTGTTTTAGTCCAAACACTGATCTACTGATGCAACAGTTAATTTCTAGCATGATTGGGGTGAGTATTGTCCCCTGTCATGAGCGATACCTTGATTTACCTGCGATTACGAGGCGAAGCCGCTCTCAAATGTTTAAGCATGTACATGATATGTTATGGAGTGTACGTGATATGTTATGGAGTAGACTACATGGATGGAGTTCAAAGTTGCTTTCTTCGGCTGGGAAAGAGGTGCTCATCAAATCGGTGGCTCAGGCACTTCCCACTATACTATTAGGGTTTTCCAATTGCCGCAAGCCTTATGTTAGGATTTTTCGGTGATGATTGCCCGTTATTGGTGGGGGAAAGCAAGGAAATGCAGTATCCATTGGATGAATTGGAGGAAACTTTGTAGGCCTAATTGCTTAAGGGGCTTGGATTCAAAAAATTTGAGGCTTCTAATAAAGTTGTGGTGGCGAAGCAAGCATGTAGACTCTTGGAGAATCTCGACTCCTTAGTTGCCTGTATTATGAGGGCAAGATATTTTCATGCGGGAGATTTCCTACATGCAGAGGCGAGGAATTGTCCTTCCTTAGTTTTTCGAGCTATAGTTTGGGGCAGACAAGTAATTGAGCAAGGTTTGGTGTGGCGAGTTAGTAATGGGCAGTCTATTAGGGTGTTCCTAGATCAACGGATCCCTAAACCTTTTACCTTCAAGCCTGTCCTCAACAAAGGGCTTCCTCAACATGCAACTGTATCGAATTTGATAACGCCTACTGGGGGATGGGATACGTCTCTAATTGATCGAGTTTTTTTGTGACAAGGATAAGGAGGCTATCTTGAATATACCCCTTGCTTCCATGGTTCAGAGAAGTGACAGACAGGTTTGGTTTTTTGAGAAGAATGGTACGTATTATGTGAAAACGGACTATCGGATTGCTTTGCGGCTGTGCAATTTATGTGACGAAGGGGAAGGAAGTTCATAGGATATAGGAGCTCAGATGGCGTTTTGGAAGAGATTGTGGATGTTGGAGATTTCGAATAAAATCAAATTATTTTTGTGGCGAGTTGCGTTCGATATTCTTCCGACTGTAGTTAATTTATTTACGAGGAAAGTGTTTTCTTCTCCACTATGCTCTAGGTGTGGTAGGGAAGGGGAGATTACTATGCATGCTTTCTGGCAGTGCAAGGGTAATAAACAGTTTTGGCAATTGTTTTCATATTGGCATAGAGTGAAGGTGGCGGGTAGCTCCTTTGCAGACTTTTTGGAGAGGGCTGCCAATGTTTTAACTGGTTTGGAGTTTGAGTCTTTTGTATGTAGTTGTTGGAAAGTATGATAGTTACAGAACTCCTATATCCATGGTATACCTCAAGCTTCTGTGGAGGAGGCTGCAAATCAGGTAAGGGACTTATATGCACAATATACATAATGCAATGTGAAGACAAAAGCTAATCCGGTGGCGTAGCAGGCGAAGAGGAGTGGGCAATTTGGTTTGTGATTGCCATGACGAGTTTCGTTGGGGTTTTGCGGTTGTTGGCTCGAATGGTTCCGACATTTTGGGAACTAAGTTGGCGGCTATGTGTAGCAGGCTACTTTTGGCAGCTGCTAAAGGTATGGTTTATTTAACTGTCACTTTTGATCCACAAGAAGCTGTGAATATGATTAATGGCACTTAAGGGTGGTTGAATATTGTGGGTAATCTAGATGTTACTGGTGTAGTTGGGTAATGCAAAAGTGGTTTATCAGCCTTGTGAAGTTACAGTGTGGCTCATGATATGTCTCAATTGGGATTGAGGGAAGGCAATCAATTTGAGGTGGGTTCGATATGGATTCAACCTTTACTAGGAAAAGATGGATAAGGGGTTAGTTTTAATATGTATTGCGGTGATGTAGTACTCTTTTTCTTTACCCGGATTTCCTTCATTGGGGATTTTTATGGATTAAAGTGGGGACCTCTAGCTGTATTGATGTTGCTTCTATATGAATTAAAGTTCTCATTTTGATTTTCACCAAAAAAAAAAGTTCTCATTTTGATAAAATAAAAATAAATAAAAAACCCAAAACTAATAGCCCCTTCTTCTTCTCTCTCTCCTCTCTCCTCTCCTTCTGCTGCTTCATGCAACTGAACTCAGTCCAATTACTCACCAATTAATGCCCCAAATTCAGAACCCTAATCTCCATTGCATTGGCAACTGCAAAATCCTAACTCCACTAATCATCAGCAGCAATGCAGCAGCTGAAGACCATAGGGAGAGACCTCGTCAAGTACATCGGCGAAGCTCGATCCAGGGCTGAAGAAGAGCGCATCGTCCTCCTCGAGATCGAAACCCTAAAACGACGTCTCTCCGAGCCCGAAATCCCCAAGCTCAAGATGGAGTACATCATCCGCCTCGTCTACGTCGAAATGCTCGGCCACGACGGCTCCTTCGCCTACATCCACGCCGTCAAGATGACCCATGACGACAATCTCTTGCTCTCAAACGCACCGGTTACCTCGCGTTTCGCTCTTCCTCAGCGACGATCACGATTTGATCATCTTGATCGTCAACACCATCCAGAAGGATCTCAAGTCGGACAATTACCTTGTCGTTTGCAAGCTCATCAACGACAAGACTGTGCCTGCCTTTTTGCGCTTCACCGCTTTTATTAGAATCTCCGGTCCGTCATCGGTTTCGCATCTGGTCTCGAATTTCCGGAAGCGGCTTTGTGGTAACGATCCGGGAGTCATGGGTGTAACGTAATGTAGTAACTGAATTAGTTTGATAATGCAGATTAGATTGTTGAAGATCTTGGTATTGATAAGCAATTCTGTGAGAAGATGCATATGGTAGTCGGCGATATTTTTAGGAAGTGCGATTCTACCAGTAATATAGGAAATGCTGTACTTTATGAGTGTATTTGTTGCGTTTCTGCCATATATCCAAATCCTAAGTTGTTAGAGCAGGCTGCTCAAGTCATCTCAAGATTTTTGAAGGTTTGAAGTTTTTGTATTTTTCAGTGTAATTTTCTGCAAATTATAGTCTGCATGTAGATTATTTGGAGAGTTAAACACCAATTCCTTGTTGTATATTTGGTCGACAGAGTGACAGTCATAATTTGAAATATATGGGCATCGATGCCCTTGGTCGACTGATAAAGATTAGTCCAGAGATAGCAGAGCAACACCAACTAGCCGTCATTGATTGCTTAGAGGTGAAAGAATTCTGTTGGGTTTGATGGATTGGTTTCAAATCATGCTTTAAACTTTTAATTTAGATGAAGTTTGATGTGCATGATGCAGGACCCAGATGATACTCTGAAGCGAAAAACATTTGAACTATTGTACAAGATGACCAAGTCCTCCAATGTGGAAGTGATTGTGGATCGTATGATGGATTGCATGATTAGCATTAATGATAACCATTACAATACATATATAGCTTCTAGATGTGTGGAGCTTTCGGAGCCATT